TAACTCATCGGTCAGTCAACCTAAAGATATAAAATTGGTATTTGTTGCTTCTCCGCTACGTATATATGCGGTATTAAAAATAATACATTTTGCTAGAAACAACCCAATGACATCTAATAGGAATAATTGCACCCAAAAAAATCAATTTAAAGGTTAATTGATTACTACTTCAATAAGATACAAAATAAAGCCTTGCGGCCATTTGCAAAATGATAAATGAAAAAAAATCTTGTTAAATGTTAAGCAGAAGTGACTTTCGGTGAACCTGAAGAAGCAAATTATAGCAAAAATAGCAAACTTTTCCTCATTTTGCAGCAAATACTAGAGAAACTTGATCCCTTCTTGTTAACATGAGTACCAAATCATCTCTCTTATTTCATGTAAAAAGCATACAGAAAGCACATCTTTTTAAAATCATTATGAAACAACCTATAATTTGACGCTATGAATACAAAAGTGATTTCACTAAAATGAGAAGTAAGGTCAACATATATTGATGAACAAAATCCATGATTTATCATAAATCATGACTTTTTAAACATATTTATTTTATCTATTACACTTTAGTTTACAGTCATACGACAACATTTTTTTTTACAAAGAGAACGGAGTTATACAAAGTTAAAAAGAATTCAAAAGTAAACATTTAACGTCACAAAAACAATTAATCATATATGATAAAATCATTTAGGGTCAATTAACATCAAACATAAAAACATATAAATGTCAATACATGCCAGAAGGCACGGATTATATGTAAATTTAGAAACATTGTGAATAATTTAAAAGAAATGATTAAATGATGGGCCAAAAATTAAATGTCTGAAAAAACTAATACGTTTTAAAAAAGGAAAGAAACAGACATGCAACTCCTTGATAACAAGACGATTAAAAAAAAACAATTGTCTACGAAACTCTTCCACAAAAAAATAAATGTTGTATAAAACTAACTCCCTATCCCCGTTAAAAACATGGAAAAAAATTCTTTCAATCTAAAAGAACAAAAATTCAATGGTGGCAAGACTTTCAACTGTTTTTTGAAAAATGATTTTTTTCATTGCCAATTTTGATTGAAAGTCTTTAAATGTACCTTTATCATATAACTCATGGATATTTTTTAATAGATTTATGAGTTTTTATAAATATTTTTTTTTCGCCATATATTTATTTATCCTTAAGATTGAAAGAATTTTTTTCCATCTTTTTAATAAGTTTGGGATTTTCAAATATTTTGGCCTCGATCATCACTGAGAAACATTGATTTTCGAAATGCGCATCTGGTGCAGCAAATTTTTATGCGTCTGTATCGCTTTCTGGATTAATTTTCATCAGGAACGTTCAAAGCTGAATATTTGAAACCCATTAAGACGAAACAGTTACAAGTGATAGTTGCTGCTAAAGCAACACAACAAGTATTAATATAGGTAAACACCGAATGTCTTAAGCTATTAATGTCATTTACTCTTCTTGTTCTCCTTGTTACATGTACCACAAGGAAACAAAAAAACAAACTCTAAAACCTTTATGATATTGAAGTTCATGTCATAATTATTTATTCGTTTCATTGTTTAGACGTATCGGACAAATTATGGCTTCTGACAATTTGACTTTTTCAACGCCAAAGTAACATCATTTAAATTACGAAATCATAGTGCAATTTCATTTAATCAAACTGGCGCTTCATTTAATTAAAATGGCGCCACTGTAATATATAAATTGATTATTTTTTTCCAATTATGCAACTATACATTTATGTTCTTCGAAAACAAGTGATATATGCAGATAAAGCTACAAATCAAATCTTATTAAAGGATTCATATTGTCGTTAATATATAAGCATTTTCAATAAAGCCAGATGAAGCAAAAAAATGAGTTCTCAAGTGTACTTAAATGCCAAAAGTATGATCATGCAATATGAAAATAACCATGCAGTATACAAGACTCACACGATGAGTCGATTTTTCAACGTCCATGTTCAAAAGGTAAAAAGTAAAGTCACAAAAATATACTAAACTCCGAGGAAAATTCAAAAAGGAAAGTCCTTAATCATGTAAATCAAATGGCAAAACCTAAGCTCAAACATATCAAACAAATGGACAAAAACTGTCAAACTCCTGACTCGGTACAGGCATTTTCTTATGTAACACATTATTCTTACTCCGATCCCAACAGTCAAAATTCTTACTCCTGAATACCGTGGTGTAGCACTGAATACCAATTTAAAATCTTTAATTTAACCAGCCAGGTTTCTAACTCGCGACCTCATGCATTCGCGGCCAAAGTGCTACCACGAGACAACTGATGCGGTTTCATAAACAGAATAAATTTGAGCATTTGTATACATAGTCAACGACTCTTCTCATGGGGTATGTTGTAAACGATCGAAATATCTTGATCCTTACTCCGTACTTTAAAACCCCACTAACAAGTTCATATTTACTCGTTGTACCTTAATGTCAACCAATGGAACAAATGAAATAACTCTTTTTTCAATTGCATACGTCCGAAGTGTATTTTTGTTTTCTTTGTGTGATGTCGTATTGATTAGATCATATACAACATACATGTATTACTGGTTGTGTTTACTAGTTTTGATTAGTAAAACGAATACATAATTTTGACATGAATTTGAATATCATAAACATGATAAAGGTATCAAATTCTTGTATTTTTGTTTCCTTTTTTATATGTGGTACCTTCAACAATGGGAACAAGAAGAGTAAATAAAATGTTTCGTTCGTTTTTCAACATTAAAACACTGTATATTTTGTCAACAAAATTATGTCTTCTACATCGTTCCTGGCGTTGCCGAAATCTCTTACAAACCAGTCAACGATTTCATTATTCATTATAAGTAAGTTTTAAAGGAAAGTAATTTGTGGCTGCCTGTGAGTATTATGTCTTGTAGTCTATAAATAGTGATATGTACTATTAATTTGTTTGTACTTGTTATTTTGCTATCTGTTATATATAAATAAACTCATCATAGATACCAAGATTTATATATATATAAATATATATATATAAGTGCCTATAAATAGCAGCACATGACATACAAATCTATATATATATATATATATATCAGTTTAACAAGATCAAAAGCTTTCCGTTTAATAATTTTGTTTTTGTGTATCCTGATAACATAAATAAATTAAAGTTTCCGGGGGAAAAAAAATATAACTTTTAATTGTCCTTCAGTGTCGTCTTTCTTTATCAATTTTTTTTTCAATATATTTCTTTTTTTAATTAACAAATACAAAAGTTGGTAATGTTGTTCGTTATTTTAAACTCCTTGTTTTCTTTCAACCCTCATCAACATATGTTTCCAAAACTTAAAAGACTGTTAGAACATAAAACAACATTTAACTTGAAGGATGCTTCTTTTTGCAAGCAGCAAAGGAAAACTCTCAAAATCTACAAAAGAGGGGCGAAAGATACCAAAGGGACAGTCAATTACATATACATGTGAAACGGTTAAAGATTTAGAAACAGTTTTCTAGTGCAATATCTATAAGTAAATAGTGGTTTTAATGAACCACTCTCGCATGTGTTATATTATCTGTAGAGCTTTTTAAGAAAATTTCAATCTTTTGTGTTCATATTTTTTTATTTTCTTTTTTTTTTATTGCTTCATTTTGTATGAATAACGATTGGGGGAAACAAATGAAGCGATTGAAAACCAAAAGTACTTAAAATCAACACCTTCATGAAACAAATAAATGATAAAAAGACTAGCAACAATCCACAAAACACTACACAGAAAACTTACATATGAGCAACACAAACCCTATAACAAAAACTGATGGTGAACTAGTGTACTCTGAAAAGGTAAGTAGAGCCTATCCAGAAGTGCATTATGTAAATAATCGTTATAATTATTTTGAAACCTATATTTAGTATAATTAGCAGTTCATCATCAATGTTGTCTCATTGGAAAGATGATAGACTGCCATCAAACGCTGGATTCAGAGTATTTGTGAAACTAGTTCCCCGTATGTGCATCAGATGTGGAAATAAGAAAAATTCAAAAGATAAGATTAGTACAGAATCAATCTGCATATGTTTTCTTTTGTAAAAGTTTTACTTCCTTACACTTTGCTAGTATTACTCATTCAAAACTGTATAACAGATTCGAAGTATTGGTGAATTTCGTTTCATAAAACGTTAATCAATAAACTCGATTTATGACGGAATAAACCAGTTTTGTGTATAAAAGCACTCTGATTAAGAAAAACAATCATATAAAGAACATATCTTTAAGATGATGGAACTGTTTTAGTGACAACACATATTTGTTACGTTTGCAGTACTTGTTTTTCGAAAGACAATCGCTTGACAGATAACAATAACTTACGTCAAAAGACAAGATATCAGCTTTTCAATTGAAAACTTACTATTTCGGTGTAGCAACATTGTCGCAGCGCTTGCTTATTATGTTTATACCTCCGAATTGATATAAAATTCAAGAGCTTGCGTAATCTATCATGATTTGCTTGATAAAATGTTTGCTGCTCACAGGACGCTATTTACGATTCCCACTTGTAAAAAGATGAAGTTAGCCAGTATTTAAGTCGTCATTATGATTTGATTAACCGTTATTAAACAACATTGTCACAGATGGCCAGAGATATGTTCCATGTGTCGTAGCCACAATACTATCCGCTTTTCTAGATTGTCACAGAATTAGACTTACAAATGTATCAACGTATCCATATACATATGATGATAAGGTACAAACAGAAAGCAAAAATATAGTGTGTGACGGGAGGGAAAGAACAATGCTTAAATGATGGTGAAAATGCAAAACCTATACAATTAAACTCAGTATTATGTATGTCATTGTGTAGATCTGTTTTTAGTTTTCAAGACTGTTGATTGCCTTCTAGGTTTCGTTTTTCTCAGTGTTTTGTCGGTTTCTTTTCGACATAAGAATTTTGATTTTTCTTTTTATCTCTGGAAAATATTTTTTTCAATTTTAAATTAATCCTATTAGTCATAAAATCAATAAAAATATGTTTAATAAAGTTCTTTGCAACAAACCAAAGGAATAGAAACAAAGAACACAATTTTCATATGCATACAAGTTCAAAATGCTTTCAATCTTTTTCGTCAGGTCAAAATCTTAATCCCAATCATTTCTATCATTCCTATCATTCCTCTCATATCTATCATCCCCATCCCATCCGTTGTTATTATAGCCTACAAAGAAACGAAAAACAACAATTTAAAAAATAAATAAACTACATGTACAAAGTAGTTATCAAATATACCAGGATTATAATTTAATACGCCAGACGCGCGTTTCGTCTACATAAGACTCATCAGAGTCGCTCAGATCAAAATAGTTAGAAAGCCAAACAATTACAAATCTGAAGAGCATTGCAGACCCAAAATTCCAAAAAGTAGTGCCAAATATTACACTTCAAAGACCGTTATTTCAACAGTAAACCCAAAGTGTTCGGGTTACTCACAACCATCTGATTACCAAATGAATTCTATATTTGCCGTAGGAGCGTTTAGAAGATTTAAAAGAAATTTATCCATCCTCCCCTCTTAAAATTTGTTTGTTTAAAGTGCAATTCGAAGATTGTGTTATTTATAGAAGTATGGGTGTCAAAAGGAAAATAACACTTAATACAAATTTTGTGTGTCTGTAGCGCTTTATTGTCTGCTAAGAACGATCAAGTTTCATTCTTGTTTTATCTTCAAGACTTAGTTTTTTTCATTGATGTTTTATATATCAATAAATGATGGAAACTGATCTGTACTGATACATAGCTGTCGTGTGTTTAAAACGTTGGTAGGGGTTCTTTCATGTGTATAGACAATTGTATTTTATTTACTGTGACATGTCGTGGGATTTGTTTAATGAGGTTGAAGTATCTTCACAAAGCTGTATGCTGTGCATAATCTATTTATATAAAGTTTAGTTTTGATTAAGACATATGTATTTGTAAAACCATTTTAGTCTTTGTGATTCATGCCATTGATAATATTATCCTTGACAAGCGAATGCAAGTATTCCTAAATCTGATATTTTGACTGTATTCCTGATAGGTATGTATTAGCATGATAATTTATCTTAAAAGCAATATGTGCACATAAATGTTCCTCAATTCCGAACAACATTGATGAGATAACTTAGTAAACCCTGTGTCTAAAATAAATGTTAATAGTCTAAGTGCATGTAGTGAACACACTTTACTCACTTTTAGCACAACAAGTTTGTCTATTCCAGCAGCCGCTTACACCTCTTACCACGTAGTACCCTCTAGCACATCTTCCATTACTGCAATATCCCCCTACGCTACTACAGGTCCTAGCACAACCTTAGATAATATATATAACCAGATAAAATTTAAGACCAATGTAACGCATATTATAAATTTTATTTGCAAAACTTTTTTATCAAGACAAGTATGTTTTTGAATATAATTTCTAATTTGATATACAAGATAAATATAACAGAAACAACTTAATTTTTGATATTTTAGATGTATAAAGATATATCTATTTGCCGTAAAATACAGGACAAAAGTAAAAACTAAATTAAAAAAAGAATTACAAAATATGAACACAAACATGATTTTTTCAAATTTTAAATGTCTCAGATATACATATTTTAGAAAAAAATAGATTAATAAGAAAAATATGATTGATAAGAACTTGTTTTCTTTTTTTAAAGGAACACACATTCCAGGTGAACAGTAGCAGTCGTAATATTCATTTGACAATGATATATATTGAAAGAAAGAGAAAAAATAATTAAAAAAAACCTCAGTACAAACATCCTGAACAGTAAAAAAAAGACACATTTACTTTCAATAACGGACACTCCAAAATGAAACAAACGTAACCCCATATCATTTGTTTTTCTATTAGTAAAACAACGAAGAGTTCATAGTCCAGATACCCAGATAAAGACTTGGCAAAGGCATATAATTGTAGTAATGCGTGAGCCAGCTTTACTTGTTAGATTTTTTCTCGGAGTTCGGTATTTTTGTGATTTTACTTTTTGTTACTTACAACCTCCCGGTGCACTTATTTAATCTTAATTTCTTACAAAAAAATACACAAGCATTAAGTAGCTATCAACAGAAAAAAATCTTACTTTAACAAAGAATTGATTAAGCGGAACATAATTTCGAAAGTCTGGTGAAAATGTGCTAGATATTACGGAAACTATAATTAAGCTATATCGATTGTTTAATTTCTGCCTCCCAATAAAACAAAACAAAATAAAAAAAGCAACACTTCTATCCGGTTTCATGAAATCTTACTATAAGCTTTTAATATACATGTGAATATGTTTTAGAATAAGATAAAGTATAAGGAAAGACAAGCCAATTATTGCAACTACGATTATTTAAGTTATACATAAAACTTACCTATTCCAATCAATGTTGAAAGAAGAAACACTGTTAGCAGAACCTTCATTGTCGTCATTGTGTTGTGAAACTATCATCGAAGCTACGTTCTTTTATATGCAAAGACCTGTCAAATATCCCATGCTTAATTATTTGACGAGTGTTGTTTAAGTGAATATGTAAATTGCAAAAATATATGCATCGATCAACAGATCAAGGTAATTAAGTTCAAGAAAAAATAAAATTTACTATAAGGCCAATCCTATTCTATATAAGTTTAATAAGTTTAATGTCCCTTCCGTTTGTATAAAATACCAAGAAATAAGTTGATAAAAACAACAGAGTTACCAGTTCATTAAAAGAAATAGATTTTTCCTCGGAGTTCATTATTTTTGTTATTTTACTTTGTGATAAATTTCATGCGTTCGAAACACTTTTCTATATAAACACTGTTGTTCTGCACATAAAAAATCATTTATCATTGTAGAGATAGGCTTTTATTGCCAAATCATGAATATGGGCAACAAAATCCTCGCTAAAACAAACCTTTGGTTATAAAAGATTATTACTTTAAATCATTACTTACAAAACCTGTTATCATAAAATCATAAATTCCTTAGAGGGAACTCGTTTACTGGTAGAGATTCGGAATGTTTTAAAAACATTGAAATTAAACTGGTACTTAATATTCGTTGTTTGTCAATTTAAAATCGTAAACATGGAATTTAATCAAGATCAGCACATCCTAAACGGATACAATAACCAAGTTATTGCATAACCTCTGAATTATTAACCCCTTAACCCACCATTTTCTTCGGATCATGTCTGTACTAGATACATGTAAGAAAAATGGCTTCCGTTGATTGAAAGTGTTTGATTTTGTAAGCTTTTATGGACTTCCTCTTTTTGAATTGGTATGTTTAATACTCATTTTCGGCCATCTTTAGATTTTAGGACCACCAGTACATTGCAAGTAATTTTGTATATTTGTCTGTCCAATAAACCCGATAAACATCATAGCAAATCCATCTATGGTCAACTTTGCATGAGGAAGTTGTTATTAACATGATACCAAAATACCATCTGATCAACAATTTATAACTAAATCAACAAACAAACTTTCTCTCTCTCTCCCTTGTAACAGAAAAATATATCATTCCGAATAACCTATCTTTATTATTTCAATCACTTATTTAACGGACAAAAAATATAGGCTAGCCTCAGTGTAAAGACTGTAAAAAAGAAAGTAACTCTATAACTTGTAATTGATTACTTATAAAATATTACAAAAGGGATTATTTAACAAGACGTACAAATTTGTATACTTTTTATTCCTAGCATTAATCGGTATTTTTTCAATTGTTTGTTAAACAAAGAAAAGTAATAGGACGGCCTACGTGTACTTAAAACCGCGAGGATGAAAAAACCGACACCTGGTACAAAACATTGGTACCGTTGATGATTTGACACACTTTGAAAGATTGATAGTAATTAACAGGTTGTCTATATGCATTTTGACTATTGATTTGTTCTAAAAGTGATTTATGACAGTTAACACAGATCACATGATACAGATAAGCGGTCGTATGCGGACGATATTGCAATGTAAAAATGATCATGCTTATTTATTCAGTACATGCTTTTAATGAGTTTCCTTATTGCTATTCTATTTTTCAAAACCGCCGTGAAACTTTCTACACGTGATGAAACCTCACACCGCAAGACCGTTTTAAACGGAATAATTAGATTGAATGGACCACAATGTGGTATTTTATAAATCAAATTATAAAATATGGTATAATATTAACAAATTACATAATATAAAGAAAAGTAGGAAAAATATGACATTACTTTTCTGACAATCTAATTGTCAAATTCGGAATCAATGCATGCATTAAAACGTCCAGGTCTTTTACCTTATAAATTAATAGATGCATTGTTATTCGTCATAATTGTAGAACTTTTATTGATGGAGCATAGTAAGTATGTCAATATTTGTATTTGAAGAAAATAAATACTGAATTACAATACAAACCTTAGTTTATCTAAGAAATGAGTTGTTATACGAGAGCCTGGTTGTTTTTTAAGATCAGGTAGTAAAAAATATATGCGCATATTTTAACCGCATTATTCATATGAGAAGAAAACTGCCATGCATGGAGTTTTGATGTAACTGCTGTTCGATATCTATTAAATCTACGGTTATAAAACGGGCAGATTTGTTTGTAAAACAATAATTCTCAAAAGATTATATGCCATGCATTATAAGATATATCCTCAGGTCAGCATCGCCCAATGGGATATGGAACATTAGTTTTTCTCAGTAATTTCGTAATTTTTCATAGGAGAATTCAATAAAAGTATGTTAAAAATTACTTCAGTACTAAAACCCTTATTACTGAGTTGTGGTACCTTCGGGAACTTACAGTTCACCAGCAAAGGTATCGACTTAGTTTCAGTACTAAATGAAACTGACAATATATTAGCTTTGTGTTGTTAAAGAACGGTGAAAGATACCAAAGGGATATTCAAACAAACTTATGAATTGACAATACCTTGGCAAAAAAAACGAAAAAAACGACCAAAAGAAAACAACAGTAAACAAAACGCAGCATAGAAACTAAAGACTGAGTATCACGAACACCACCAAACATCGGGGTGATCTCATGTGTTCAGCAGATCCTGCTCGACTGTTGGTACCCGTAGTGATGCATATATAAGTACAAACCCGGTGATAAGTGTAATTAGGTAGGTCATATTCGAAGAAAAGAAGACAGCCTTGTGGTTACGGCAATTGTAAATGTGAAACTAGCTTAAGTTTTAAAGTGGTTTATTTAACAATTGAGTTGTTTTGTAAAACTGTTTGAAACTAGTGAAAAAAAACTGTATCCGTATTTTGTTATATAAAATTGCTGATTTGGAATATCAATCAAACTGGTTTCAACAGTTTGATCATTTAACTATCCATGTTCGATAAGTTTGATATTAATATGTATGTAAAACAACCAACAAATCCTATTTAGGTTGAAACTGTATATTCAACCCAATTTTTACAAATAAATTCGCTTTACTACTTCATATATATTCCGTTTTAAGTCAATGTCTGAATGATAATTTTCAAACACTCTGTAATGACAACATTTTGTGTTCTCTTTATGTTGTAATGTGATGGAATGTATTGCTTGGAGTTTTCACGTGTAGATTTGACAAATTTGATAAACATTTTTAAGTCTGCGTTTGAAGAAATGAGATGAATACGTTTTATTAGCAAGTTAATTTAAACAACGTAAAACCTCTTTGTCAACTGTTTTCATAACTATATGAAATAAAAATTATTTAAAGTTTTATATAAAGGCAACAGTAGTATACCGCTGTTCGAAACTCATAAATCGATAGAGATAAAAACAAATCCGGGTTACAAACTAAAACTGAGGGAAACGCATCAAATATAAGAGGAGAACAACGACACAACAAAAACACAACATTAAAATTTGTAACACACACAGAACGAACTATAATATAACAATGGCCATTTTCCTGACTTGGTACAGGACATTTTAAGAAAAAAATGGTGGGTTGAACCTGGTTTTGTGGCATGCACCATTAATGATTCAGTTAAATTATTACCAGAACATAAATACATTTGTTTTTATATTTAATTTACTAAAGTTAGACGTGTATTTTCAATTTTCAAGTAAAAGAAAGTTGTATACTTCATAATTATGTAAAATAATATCATCCCGATGGTGACAGAGAACAACTTTTGCGGTATAGTACGATTTAACGAATATCTCTTTTTTAACTTAATGTCCAGATCCGTTTTATCCCTCTCGGCAGTCTGTCCATAAACAAGATTAAAAAAATAATCTTACTAGTTATACAAATTGTTGAAGAGATAAACCTACAGAAAAATATTGATTAACTAGTACGATTTATTCTATAAGATATAATTGCAAATGATTGCTGTTGAATTTATTAAGTAGACAATGAAAACAACAATATTCTTTGTCTTTTTCAAAATAGAAATAGAAAGAAAGGGGAAATAAAGTAAAGAAAAACAAATTGATTCTGATAATCTCTAAATAAAAAATCTTGGTGATTTACGGAAAATCAAGTTCGAAACAATGTTTGTAATAAGCGCATATTTTCTGCATAACATCATCAGTTGCGCTCAAATTAAAACAATTTGCAAAAATAATGCGAAGTTAAAGATCATAAGAAATAAAAAAAAATCCGAAAAATTGTACAAAAGACGTCTGTTTAAGTGTTCCGAATTATTCAATAGTTTATAAACAGTTTAATTTACATAAAATCAGTGTATGGTGGATATCTCCTGTAAACACAAAAGAACTGACTTCCGGCTCATGATTACGTCGACAGCCGAAGCATGGACCCAGTTGTCGAAAAACTTATCATAGATACTAGGTTTATAATTTGCTACGCCAGATTCGTGTTTAAACCATGTAAGACTCGTCAGTGGCCCTCGAAATATAACAGTTGGAAGGTAAAATCAAATATGTATATGTAGTCGAATAGCATTAATAAAATGTGCGAAACGCGGTTAGGCAACCTATGACCTTAGGTAGAAAACAATAATTCAAGCTACTATAAGCAGTGAGTTTACAAAAAAACTAAACAAATAAAGGATCTTTCATGTCAGCACAAACTTTTGCCTAATGGACTGTAGAAACCCTCAGGACGAAAAAAATGTTCGACTTTATAAACCAACGGAACAAAACGTCCACCAAAAGTGGTTGTTAAACTTAGCAGGGACACCATGGTTATAATTTCATTCAACAGACACTCGTTAAGTCTACATAAAATTCACCAGTGGCCCTTGAAATAAAGCAGTTAAAAGGGCTAATTCACTAGTATTAAAACCTGAAACAAATGTGCTAAAACCTGCTTAGGCATTCTTTATACGAATTTTAATCTTAAACGGTTATTTTGATTTTAACATCATTTGAAATGTCTAAACGATAAATTATTAAGGTATCTTTAGTATTTCAGTCAATTGTCATACTGATCTACTGCGGCAATTAATTAAGTAATAATCAGACAATTTAATTCAGTCCATGTAGTATTTTTGTAAGTTTTCAGACAATTCAGTATGTTGTTACATGTAAGGTGTACAGGTTAATAACAATTACTGAACAGTCTGAAAAT